AATGCACCATCTCAGATCAGGTTTCTGCTGTTATATTCAATGAAAGAATAAAAAACCCTGCATCTTTAACAACTGTTGATACATTTAAGATGTCGTCAGATTTGGATTACTGTTTGTCATCAACAAAATTACTGTGTTTTTCACTGCTCTGACACTTCTCCTGCTAGAAAAATACAAGCTAACCACACAAAATATACTAATATGATCTATGTGTGCCACTGGTAGCATTATACACAGAACATTTAATTTCATATGTTAATCCCAATCAAGTTCTCATATTTTAATAGTTATTGAGGGTCAGTAACAATTGAAGAGTATTGTGATTTCCATTATGAATCTCACACTTTTGTGCTAAGCACATATATTTTTGGACTAATTACAGTGTGGAATTATAACCACATTTAGAATTAATATTATATGTTACCATATGCATTGTAATATCTTGCACAAAGAATTTTACATTGTCCTACAGTGCCACATTTATCCAAAGAGAAGGCTAAACAATGCAGAAATGCATACAGTGCTAACAGGATATAGAAAAGCCTACTTAGGAAACAGTTAAAAAGGAGCAAATGGTGTGGATTCAGAATATTCTGACTGACAGATGGACTGAGCTTCACATTTCCTTAGAGGCATTAGCATAATTAGGCAAAGTTGGGAAATGATTTATACTGTTCAAAAGAGTTATAGTTCATCTCCTGGTGATCCAAAACCAACATTAACTTTTAACTTTCACTCTCTTTCTTACTCAAAGCCAATAAGACTAATAGGAGAGTAATATGCTCAGTGACTAACACCAATACAGTTTTGTAGGTATTTACACATATACGTTTTTGACATTCACTTAGGTAAGTATGATTAAATATTAATTCATTCAGAATTTTGCATTTGGTATTTTGGGAGGTTGGCTTACACTATTTGTTCATCTCTGGAGGATTTCATTATAATTGCCAATTCACAGAAGAGTGATATGATGTCGTAGTAGGAGGTAGAAGAAGCACAGAGATACCTGAAGCTGCTTGAAGATGCCTGTAGTAAAATGCCTGTAGTTCACGTGACATAACATAGCGTTCAGTTTTAATACACATTGTGTTTAGGTGCATAACCTATTTGTGCATCAGCTCAAGTTCAGAGAGCTTTTCTAAGAGCTGTTGTTGGACCTAGTCCTTTTGCAGATGTTGTGTACTGAATATTTTTCAATATTTTGACACTCCTGCAGCTCGTTTTCTGAAAGTATAAAGAGAAAAAGCATCTGTATTACATCCATGAATATGTGCAATCTTTATTAATGAGAGTGTGGCCACCTGAACCTGGCTTTGGGGGGAGACAGGGATGCTGATGGAGCAATATGGATTTCAGCAATAACCACAGAAGTATTGAAATCTCAGAGACCAGAAGAAATCTTAGTCCAATTCACTGAACTGAAGTAGGTTCACACACAGCTCAACTCTCCGTATTTATTATTTGCCCAACCTTTCCTTAGAAACATTTGGACAAGAATGATTCTACCTAGCCACTAAGTAACCCATTCCAGTGTTCCCCAGCCCTGATAGCTGTTTTTATATTTAGTACCATAAATATGACTAGTAACTGTACACTACAAGATGTGTTTGAAATAGGTAGCAAGACAAATCATGAAGTCTCAAACGACTCTAAGAAAAATATATTTCCTACGGTCAGCTGCTTCTTGGGTCCTAATGAAAGTGCATGGGCAGCAGCAGCTACCTTTTCCCTTTCATTTACCCAGTATAAAGGAAATGGAATCATGAGGAAGCAAATTGTACTGTAATTGATGGACTGAAATTTGGTGAGGGCCTTTTATAGTTTGGCATGTTTGTTTTTCTTTTATGGAATTACTATCTTTTTGGGTTGTTCTGTGGAGGTAGCATTAATAACATTTGTTTTTTAAAACGGTTCCAGAATTTCCACCTTGAAATGTATTTTATTTTCTTACCTATCCAAATGGTTAACTAACTAGATTTCTAACTGCTTAGTTAATTCATTTTTAATTGAAAAGTTTTGCTGTTGTTGTTTTCCAAAAAGATATCTTATTAAAGCAAACTAGACTTTTCCATCATGTCTCCAACTTTCTGCATGTAGCACAGATATCCTACAACACCTAGCTGAAGAAATTACCACCTAAGATGTTTTTGCCAAGGAAAGTTCTATGGAAAAGTTTGTGAAAGATTATCTCAACCATTCTCCCATTTGCCCTAAATTATGTATGTGGTACAACATTCAAATTTGACTTTATGGTTAAAAATGTTAAAAAAAAAAAAAGTTTTCTTTTATTAAAGGTACATTTGGCATTTATTAACAAAAACAGATTTTAGTGAATTATTTTAATTTAGTCAAAGACCATCTTTTTATTGCAACAAAAGGTTTTAATGAATTTGTTTTGAACTATTAGTATTATCGAAAGAGAATCTAGTAAGATATAACAACAACAATGTTCCGTCCATTACCTCAGCAGCAGACTTTTGTAGGCAGTAATGGTGGTTTACTTGAGCAATGGGAATGATGGATCTGCAGACTCAAGGGGGTTAATGTTGACAATGAGCAATTATTATTTTTGACAAGAATACCAAAGGGTTTCAAGATGACTTTTCTAACTGAAAGCAGATTATGACTTGAGTTTTATTACTAACTGTCAAGCATAGTTGTCAAGTATATAAAAGTGTGATATAAAAGAAGATCATTTTATTATAGTAGGAGACAAAGCAGAGATTGAACGATGACCTTTTTTGTGGTTGTTTCTTTTTTTTTTTCAATTACCCACAGGAAGAAGGAGGCAGAGTCCTAAGCATCTTAAAAAGGGAAATGGGGGGAGAAAACATCCGGGAGAGGACACTTTTCTACAGTTAAAAAACTGACAGCAAAAAGCACAATATGATTTTAATGAAGTCAGCATATGTGTGTGTCTGTGGGTACTGGTGTGTGACTTCCGTGTCTTTCTTGTAGATATAATGTAATAGTATGGGGGTGGGACAGTGCCCCTCAGCAGCTTTCCAGGGAGTAGTTCTCTGGCTTACTGATAATCAGAGCTACAAGTGATTTTTTTTGTTTGGTCTTTAGCTGTGATATTTTCCTCTCTCGCCTGTTGGTATGTGTTGTAATCTTGATCTTAGAGATGCTGGTCTTTGTCAGAGCAATTACTCAGCCCACACTTCTCTGACGAAAGATGAAAAGTATTTGCTAGAGAGAGCTCCACCTCTCATTTGTTTTATGTGTGCCTGTGACAATAGCAGATACTTCTGTTTCCACTGAGAAGTAACATCCTTCTGTCCTGAGCAGGTCACAAGTGTTTCTTTGACTCCTTATCTATCACATTTACTGAAAAACCAAAGGCAGTTCTGATTGTAACATTCAAACTGAAGTAACCCAGGACTTTAAGTGCCGACCTTACCTCTAGAATGGGATCAAGTATCCCTTGTTAAAGCAGCTTTTGCAGATGTTGCAAGGCAGAGACAAACTTTGCTCCTTTGCTACTGGTTTAACTGATTTTTACATGGAAGAGAATTCATCTGCACTCTTCTGTGGACAAACCTGAACAAGTAAAAGATGCAGGAAATCAGGGAGGTAGAACATAACATAAAAGAGCATTACAACTTCTTTGAACGGATACAATGATTGAATCTGTTGTGCTAGAGAATGTCCTGACATCACTTGATTCTCTTCCATTAGTCTGCTAGAGACTGTAGATCTCCTCTCTTGATTATTTTTTTTTCTGAAAACAAATACAAAAGGAAAAAAGGTTCTTTCACATGATTGCTTTTTTGCATGACTAAAGAGGCCTTTCCTAATTATGAAAAATAAAAATAAATTGGCAAAACAAAGTAAGAAAACAAAGATGGTCTGTCATTGGCACACATATTTATACTAAATCTGAGTTAATATAATGCGTTCTGAAGGTGCCAGATTCTCTGTGAATGCGTTTTGGAGAAAACCATGACATTTTCATACTGATTAAATTTATGACACAAGTAGAGCAGGTATATTGTTGTAAAGGCAATATGCCCAAAGTACATTTATTTAATGCTATACTTCCCAGGTAATTCTTTCATCTACTAACATATAGTGGCTCAAACTTCCCTCAGGTGCTCTTTCAGATATGTTATGCAAGATCTGATCATATTAGTATCCTTTAAACCCACATGTACACCAGGTGTAAGCCTCTGTGCAGTCTTGGCCCAAAGAGCTAGGGGGATCTGCACAGCCATTTTTTTTCTCATACATCCTGAGTGCTAAGGTTAGTTTAGCCTCTGCCATAAGTTCTAGCAACACCAGATCATTCTCATTAGGACCACTACAGTAGCCTTGGTCTCCCTGAAACTATAGCTGCTGAAAACATAAATGGAACCAGTCTTATGTGAGAGGAATGCCAGGGGGTACATTGCCTGATATTGTTTAAAAGCCTTCATGAACAGTGTAAAAAAAAACCTGCTTTTAGAATTCTACCAGCTAACAAATGTCTGTTATGTTCCTTGAACACTAATTTCTACTTCTGGGCCTTCCTTGCAAAGGATGCTCAGTACTGTCCTCTTACAACCTTTGCCTCATCTTCAGTTTGCTTATCCCTTTTCTCTGGTAGCTCAAGTGAAAGTCTACTACACAGTCTGGAATATGCAGTATAACCACATTTGCCAGATGAAGTTTTATAATCGGGTTCAGAAAGCTTCATATCTTAGAGGACTTTGAGAGGGTTTCCAAACAGGAAAGCTAAAGGTACGCAGCTGCCTGTTGCCTATTTACCTGAAATGAAAAAAAAGTGCTTTGGGCTTTCAGCATGGAAGATGGTTGGATATCTGTACTGTTTCATAGATATAGCAGTGATGATTTTGAAGGTCTGAAAGACATCAGTGGTAATCTACTTGAAAGTTTCCTGTTAAAACATACAGCTTAATATTTTTTAACTTATTCCATCTTCTGTCATGTGGATCACATTCTTACTATGCAGAACAGGCTTCAGTTGTCACAGTGTCATCTTTCTTGATTTTTAGGACTATGTAGATGGCTGCCAACAAGCTTCAATCATGCACAGAGGAAAACAGCAAGGACTAGGCTGAGTGGATTCAGAAGAGTACTGTCTCACATCAGATGAAGACAGAATCATGTGAAGGTCTGTCTCTACATCATGCAGGTGAGTGGAGAAAGAATAAACTTTTGATCCTGTTGCCAAACAAGATGACATTTTATTCTGTGGTGGGATAGAGGAAGGTTTTGAGATCAGGCAGATACTATAGAGACCAGGTAATTCTGAATTCCTGATGATCTTAAAGCTCCATGATTATATATTTCCTTCCAATAAAATATCCTACTTGAAAAAAACTTGAGATGAAAGAAATTCCTCGATTCTGAACTCAGTAGTCTTTTTAACCCTTGACCAACAGTACATTTCATGAAATAGTTAGAATAGTAGATAAATTTCTTAGGTTTAGATACAGTTATGTTTCCTTTCTCTTTCAGCATATATCCCTGTGCATGTGCAAACACACAGACACGCACACATACACATCTATCTGTCTATATATAATCTTCAGCGGAAGCTCATGCATAGGGGAAATTCTGGGAATAATTAAGAAAAGGATACTGCATCCTCCAGCAGACGGAATACATCTTTTTCATTTAAAGCATTTTTTTTTCTTTACCACCAACTTGCTGCAATTAGGAGGTTGTTGGAGAGATATCAATTGAGATTTGGGAACTGTTTTCTGGAAATGTTTTGAATTAAAATCTAATTGGTAGCTTTCTTTGATAACTATTTTATTGTTGGGTGCAGCTAAATGGAAATCGACCACAAAAGGAACTCAATTTTGTTTGTCATTAATTTTAACTCGATTTCACAAATGATTTACATATATGATATTTTCTCTATTTGTTCTGTACCATTCCTAAACTCCACTTAGAAGAACTTAGACTGCTTTAGTGTTGTTTTCCCATTTATCTATTACTTTTAAATACTCTATATTACCTTAAATATGGGTTTCAACAGAATGGTTAAGAAGCAGTAAGTGGACCAAAATTAATCTTCTTGTATTTTGTGAAAAACTAGGAAATTAATGTCCCTGAAGACAAAATTTACTTGTTTTTGCCTAAGACATTTTTGAGTGCTGGGGTCAAAGAAAAGTAGACCTACACAGCAAACAAATGATCATAACAAAGCAAAACTTTGAAAAGATAAAATTACAGAGTAACCATGTAAAAAGTCACGGCTCAGCTACACGGTCAAGTTACGTCAGTTTAATGTGTTACCAGGACATCAAGTGAGCTATGTCCATGTGTGATCACTAAATGTGAGCTAATTCAATGTACAATATGAGAAAGGCGAAAGATACCTATAAATAAGTACTGGAAAGATTAATGAATAATTTTGCAAAGGGAAGATTGGGTACAAGCATCAATCACAGCAGAGATGTAATTTTACTAACAATGAATGCCAAATAACCTGGGCAGGCAGGACCCCAGCCAAAACACACTTAACTGAGTCCAATTGACTCTATGGATATTGGACTGTGCCCATGGAATGTAAGAGAAAACAGCAATTTGGGGAGGCCTAAATCCTTACAAGGGGGGACATAGTTGATATTTGTCTGGAACAAATTAAGACTGTTGTTGGTACCAGACAAAGGCAGGTATATGAGGGTTTGCTTATTGTGGAAATACAAATATCGAAAGCTTTTTCTCTTGAGAATTGAGTTAACAGGAAAAGTACAATATTGGTTTCTTTATTTGAGTGTTTGCAACTGAAATACTGTGCTACTTAGCAGCAAAGAGAAGGATAACATCTTGCTGTATCACTGTGTAGGAACATAGCACGTCCTCTCTTCTGACAGATTTAGAAGTAGGCTTTCACTTAATGGGGCAGAACTGCAGTGATACACCTTTTCCATGAGTCCCTAAGCACAACACTGCTGCCCAGAGTACTCCACCAATACAGGAAAGCTGTCAGGAAACTGTGATGACACTGTGCATTGCAAAGTTTCTTAAGTAACAAACCAGCCACACCTACACTGTCTCAATGCTGCGCATGGTGCTGTCTGAAAGCCTGTTTATAGTTGCCGTTTGGTTCTTGCTGTCATAAACTTTTGGCTCTGCAAGATATTCATTCATGTTAGGTTGTTTCCCTGCTTCATTTGGGTTATTTGAATTCTGGTCCCATTTCAAAAAGCATTTATATAAAAATGTAATCTTCTGTCGTAGCAGATGTGCCCCACAAGTGCTTTCAGAGGCAAAGATGTTACTGACTTTGGTGACTCAGATATTTCTCAAATTCTGTTTAACTGTGGTTGCACTGAAATAAGGCACTTGATTCATATATCTTCTATACGTTATCAGTATACCAGGCTCATATGCATGAAACTGAGGCTAACAGTTGACCATGAATCCTCTCATTTTCTATTTTTTTTTTTTTTTTTTTAATACTGGTAGCAGTGCAAAAGAGAATAGACAAGTGGTTTGAAAATGAAGTCTTTTCACGTCTAAAATAAGGAGCTATAATTTGGAAATTGCTGTGAGACTGTAACTATGAACTACAGTCATATGGTTTTTACACTTCTCAGATGGAAACTGTACATATCAATGTTGGTTTGCATTAACTTTAAAATATTTGTCTTCTACAAATTATTTTTTCAGGATGTTTAATTAAATTTAAATGTATTTCCTCAAAAAAAAAATCCTTTGATAATTAGGTAGTTTTATAAATTCCTCACTGTGAACTTCAGAATTAGTAAGAGCTCAAGTGCTTTGAGATTGGTGTTTAAATTGTTTTTCACATGACTTCTTGTTAATTTTGTCTGTGCTCAGGAAGCATTTTGCCAATATTTGTTAATATCTATCTTTGCTCATTCAGTGCTTCTTTCACCATTGTATATAAGTGATATAATCATAGGTTAGAAAGGCAGTGTTTGTTCAGAAGAGCCGTACTGTCAATGAATAGCAAGGTACTTTGCAGTACTTTCTGAACAGAGTTCTTTGCTCCCAGGAGGATGTGATAACAGTTCATCTGTAATTTTTCTTGTGGAAAGGTACCACTTACATGAAAAAAATTGGGGCTCAGCCTTGCCTTTGTTGTAGAAAACCACACAGTGGAGAAAAGGCCACTGGAGAGCCACCCATTCCCAAGAGAGGTTCTCTCTTGATTCCTGCCTGCAGACTGCTTTGCAGATTTTGATATGGTAATTTAGCATTAGAACTCTCAGACCAATATAAAAAATGCCACAAATGGACCAAAATGTAGATTACTTGGTGGGAAATAAATGCCTTTTTTAATAAACAACATATTGCTGTCAGTTTGATCAGCTGTAAGGAAGAGAAGGCATTTCTAAACAACAGTTTGAAGAGGTTTCAAAGAATCAGTTATAAATCAGTTATTGGTTAACTTTGGCCATTTAATATCCATTCTAGAAATCTGGGCAAGGTGCTTTGGGCTTTATCATACTTCTGCAGAAGCTCTGGAAGGGAGTAGAAAGGACTCATCTTTACAGAACTTCATCACTGAAAGCTTTTCAGAAAGAGGGGAGTGTGCTCACAGGGACCAGAAATCCCTGTCTGTGAGGGATGGGCAGTGCCTCTGTGGCAGAACTCTGCTCAAGGCTTGTGAGTACTCACAGGCGTCTGGGACCTGGGAAGATTATTTTTATACTCCCCATACTGCCATCTTTGCAAAGCCAGTTCAGGCCTGGAGCCAGTTTCAGCTGGGCATCAGCTTGCTGACATACTTTCTTCCACCAGGGTGTGCCAATCAAACAGACTGCATTCTGTTGCATGAGAATTCAAAACAGTACTGGAGTGCATAAAAAATGCATCTAGTCCTGAGTGGGTTGTTTTGCTCAATACGTTTATGAAAGAATATTTGAAAGCAGGTGAAATAAAATCAAACATGCATACAACAGACAAAAAATAAATAAATAAATAAATAAATAATAAAAAAAATCCAAACCTCTATCCAGAGTATTTTTAACTAAAGGGTTTTTAAAAAATCAGTGCAGACATGCTGGCTTTTTACCTCCTCTTGTTTTAACCTATGACTGATTCATCAGTTGAAGTGTAAAGGAACCGATCTTCTTATGGTAATTGATTCTCAGGGGCTATTAGTGTAAATGTAAATGCTCAACATAGATGTTACGTAGGTGGGTGTTAGGGGGAAAACATAAAGTGTCAGCAAAATAAGGCAGTCTGTTCATACCGTGTGGTGAGAAAGTGAAGAATGTTAGAAATCAGAGACTCAGAAATGCCTCCCAGAGTCAGCTGTGAGTAGAGTCTCCCATTGTGAGTAATTATAAGAAGCCTACTGCGCAAGAGTCAATTCTGGTCCTTTAGTTCAACAAGTAAGACACTTACCTGAAAATAACAGATTTCAGGTGAGATTTGAAAAAGAGCTTACATGAGTTAAACACCTGGCTGCCATTGACCTTCTATGGGAGGTGGGCACCTAACTCTTTAAGTGCATCTGAAAACTGTTGGGACTCTGGTTTTTTATAGCCCTGGACTAGACTTTTTTTTTTCTTTTTTCATAACAGCTGTGATTTTCAAACCACAGAGAATAAAAGAAGAGCATTCCAGTAAAAGTCCAAGAGAATACTTTAGTTGACCTAGCTCATCAAAAATTGCAAGAGTAACTCCAAATTATTGAACAAAATTATAAACAAAAGAAAACTGTTGGTTTTGTCTTCTTTGTTTTTACTCCTTGTAAGTTTATGATTTCCAGGTTCTCTTTGGAAGTTAAGGGGTTTAAAACATGCTCTTTTTTTTTTTCTTTTATTTTCTTTTTAACAAGAATTTATGTTATCACACGACTCTAAAAATCAGATCTTCCAAGTAAGCAACAAATAAATTTTGAGATTGATGATAAAATTAGGAAACTAAATCATACTGTATTTATAAGTCGTCTTAAGATTGTGGAGAATATAGTCAGCTTAACGAAGAACATGCTGTGTGTATGAGCTTTTCCCTTATGCTTCATTTGTCTTGATGGTGATGAGGAGAAAGTGAAGCCTGTCTGTCACCACTGCCCAGTGTGACTGTTGCATATACAGCCTGACATAAACTATACTGGAAGGAATGTGGTCAGCCTTGATATTGGGTGACTAGAGGAGGAATCAGTCCCTCAGAACTCTTCCCCTCCTTGCATACACTTCACAGTCATCTTGAGAAAGGCCCTTGGGCAAAACTGGCTACTAGAGAATCAAATCTGTACTTAGTAGGAGATATTTTACTTCCTTAATAATTGTGAAGTGTCAGTTCCCAGCAGCAAACACGTTCTAATACGCTGCCTTTTTATGATGATGTGAGAACCACAAGGAGTCTGGGATTCTAAATTCCTTTCAGATCCTTTATATAAAAAAAAAAAAAAAGAAAAAAAAAAAGTAAAAAAAAAAAAAGTCCAGATGGCTCACAAAACATTTAAAGAACTTTATTTGAAAAACATTTTCTTTCTAAATGGGAATTTACACAGAGTACAATTAAACATGTTTTTCTAACTAAACATACTAGTTTGTATCTTGTGGCAGGGAAAAATAAATATGTAAAAATAAAAACAATCTGAGACTCAAAGTTAATCATGTTGTGCCAGCTTGACTCAGATTCTGTGATGAAGGGCCATGCACGCTCTCCTGCTGTAATCCCAGGCTCCTAGATCTGCCATAAGGACCAGGCTTATCAAACTGATAGGAAATACATGTCAAGCTTCTTAAGTTGTGCTGGTCACCATTCTTGCAAATAGTAATGTACCAATCTAGACAATTACATCTGTGAATGTGCTGAGAGAAAATTGCCATGTATCCAGAAATTTTAAGGTGCAAATGAACAATGATTTTTGTATTTAGTTTGGGACGCATTATGCTTTCCTGACTTTTTGAGACAAGTGCCTTTCTAAAAACCAGTCTACTTGAAGTCTTCTTTCCCCCTCTTTTAAAGACAGTTACCGTGTTTGCCTTCTCCAGGTATGTAGAATTTCCTCCAGCCTTCCCATATGCTTGAAAATGATCACTTCTGGTTCAGAGATTGCCTTGACTCACTGTAAAAATACTTGAAAGTGAGTTTTCTAGCAGGCCCTGCTGGCAGAAGTGCATCTAACTCATCTAAACACTTCAATTCATGCTTTTCCCCTTGCAGATGCTACGCTTCTCTCTCAATTACAATTGGTTTTGCAAATAACTTTTATGATGAAGATAGAGCGTAAAATTGTCTATTTCTTTTGATACCTATAAATTATTTTGCACCTCAATCTTATTGATCAGAACATTGTGTACCAGGTTATTTCTTATTATCCATCTTCATCTATCACTGTTGCCATTGTGTTAGTTTTTATTTTCTTTTGACTTATGCTAAAAAGTTCCTGAGTCTTCCATATTGCTTTGTTTCAGTTTCTCTCTTTCTTCTCCTTTGAGCCAGACAACTACTGTGTCTTTAATTTTTAATGTCATAACTGCCACTTTCTCTGAAGTTCTCCATACCATGCAATTTCTTCACGAGAGTCTATTACCAGATCCCTGAGTTGGTCTGCTTTTTTTGTTTGCTTGCTAGTTTCATAAAACAGCCGTCCTATTAATTTTATTTTCATAACCTTTTTTTCCTGAACTCGTCAGATTTACCATTACATCCATTTTAAGATTTTTGACTAGGCACTCCTCACTGGTTGGAATCTAGTCTAAATTGCTTCTCTGGAACCTTTCTCCATCTTCTGAAACGTGTGCATAGTACAAACCAGAATCACTTGCTTGTGCCCTGCTGTTTTGACACACATAGTTGGGTGATTAATATGTATCTCTATCCCCTATTGCCCATCCATTTCTATAGTTCTCCCTGTGTTATTGATGTGTTATTGACCTTCTTCAGATTAAATATTCCAAATTCACCGTGAAGTTTTGCATGTTCTTTTTCTGTTTTGTCTTTATCCAGAGATATATGTCTGTTCTTCTCTAATTCTAGAACTGCAGGAAAAGCGTACTAATTCTTGGCATTTATTGAAATGCTTTTTATTCTTCCTTGCTTCTCCTGTGTGCAACTGTATTATTCTAGATCAGTATTGTCACCCTGTATTGTGTTCACCGGCCTCCGACTCACCAGTTAAGTGACTATTTCATTACGCTGTAAGACTTTGGTCTATTCCCTATTACTTTTTGCTTTTGTGTATAAGCATATTCATCATGTTGCCCTGTTGCTCTATTTTGTCTCCCATGGCTCATATTTCACTCTAGGAGTCACTGCATTTTTAGTGATAGATGGACTTTTACCATCACCTTATTTCAAGCCTTGTTTAAAAAATTCCTAATAAGTCAGTGCCTTCAGATGAACTGCCTGGATTTTCACAGCAGACAGTTTGTGGAACACTGCTGTGGTTGAGGGTAAAGCCCTGGTATTATCATCCGTACCTCAAGGCATTCTCCTTCTCTGTTTATTCTGATGGTCACTTCTGGCAATCATTCAATAAAGATTTTATAAACACAGCTAAATTTAATGTGCTCAGGTTCAGTTATCCATAGTAGTTCATACAACACCAGTGATGTGGCAAGGAAGCATGGAGTGAAGAGGGAAATAGCAATTTCTTAAGCAAGCTCAGTTAAAAGAGCAGCCTTCATGAGTGCTTCAGGAAGTAGGTGTTTAAATTCTTCCTATGATGATAGCTGAAGTTGACGATAGCAATTGTAATACAGTGAAACTTCTGTTTCTAGATGCCAGAGGTTTTACTAGAGGGTAGTATCTTATATTTGGCCATATCTGGATAACACAGACAATAACTTTTGGCTAAATGGAAACAGAAGGATCTTACATTTCTTTAGTTGTCATCTGTAGCGGTGATTACATTTCTATAATCAGGCACAGTTTCATTTTGCTATAGTTTGTTTCCACATTAAAAAAATTCATCTAACCATGCTACCTGTGCATCCTTTGGAATATCATGATAATGACAGACAAGTACAGTGGGATGCTTCTGTTGAGGCCATTAAGTTGATAGTGTCTAAATTCAGAAAGATCCCTTGAGCTCTTTCAGTGTAATGCTGGGTTCAGTTAGCATTTTTTTTCAATCTACTGAGAAACAAACTGAATTTGCAGATGCTCATCATGCTGGAAGTGAAATTTATTTCAACAATATGATAGTATAAGAATATCTGTATGTAACACCAGTGGTTTATAGTGGGAAACATTTTTAGGCACATAGGAAGATTTAAGTATATGGCATCTTTTTGAGATTATTTACTGTAGCAATCTGATGGGAAGCTGGTTTATTTTATCTTAACTTCTAAATAATTCTGTTTTCATGAGAGCCACAGT